TCTTGAGACTTACATCTGCAACATTTATATTGCTGATCACACTAGAGTCATTATTGTGGTATAATTTTACAACCCCCTCATTGCCCATCACCCATTTGTCACGCAAAATGTTTTTCAGAGGTTCATCTTGGGATCGTTGTGACCTAATCACGTTCCAGCACTCTTCTGCAGTAGTTGTAGTGTGTGATTGTGCTATGAATTCAAGATATGGATGGTACGCAACCTGATGTGAACAGGACTGTTAGTGTCCTTTTAGCACATCTAAAAGCTGTCCGCCTGTTAACTGTGGAATCATTCTTCTGGAAAAGTTGTATTGTAGTAGTGATAATGGGTGCTACTATCTGTGCAGCGCAGTCTATTAGTCTGGGGGCACGTGATAGGACTCCATGTGACGTCGAGGTAGAGCAGTCGTAAAAGGCTGGATTACCATTTACTGCTACACACACAACTGATATGGTTGCGATAAATAGGAGATTGACGTATCTGCGGAAGTTTGATGATCGGTCGCGGAATCGTACTCGGTCCGGAGTTGTCTCTCTGCGAGGTGTGTACGCGTGTGGTGAAGGGGATCGGGAGTAGTTGAACCTCCGGTCTCTGTACGGTCTGTTTCTGTTCCCGTTCCTTCTTTGCCAATTCCGGTTATCTGATGGGTAGGATCTGAAGTTAAGCGCGTTAACTTGTCCGGACAGACTATGAATGGCCTCTGAAATTTCTGATAGCTGGTCAGTAGCACGCTGTTGTCGNTCATTGTCAATTACAATTAATAAAACATTAATCTACCAAATTATCTTGTACAATCCATCATAACTCAGCTCCCAATCGATATTTTAAAACAGGCGGTCCCTTTGATCAAACCTCAAATCTTAAACTATAACTTCCCTGAAATTTCTGATAGCTGGTCAGTAGCACGCTGTTGTCGTCTTTCTTCGAGACGTGCCATGCGTACGGCGTCGGAGTATTTTGCTGGAGCTGTTCTCACTACCTCTTTGCGAATAGGCTCTCTTAGTCCGTTCGTGAAAACGGCTAGCATATTTGGTTCTTTCAGTGGCGATTTTGTATTGTATGCCATGTCTGCTCGTTCCTGGCACAGCTTCGCGTACTGAGATACTGAAAGCGTACCTTGTTTGGTGTTGACAAAACTGTCAAACGAAGAGAAACTTTCTTCGAATTCCAGCAGGTTTGCTTTCATTTGGTCCAGCATTTTCTCGAAAGGGCCTTGTTCTCGGATCCTCACGGGAATGCGGTCGTATGCATCTTTCGTGTCGTGCGCATCGAGGAGTGCTGAAAATAAACGTAAAGCGTCTTCTTGGGTAGCGTGGGATGCGTTAAGGTATGCATTGAGGTTCCGAGTGAAATCGGGAAAAGAAGTTCGTCCGTCGAATCTGGGTGGAATCAGGTGTGGTTTGAAGGTTGTTCTGGGATTGTCTGTAGTTCTGGAAACCTGTCCCTCGTCTGTTCGGGCTCTCTTGGAATTGGGTGCCGATTCCATGTCAGTTTCTGAAGCAGGTGAATTGGCTATCGTCCTCTCGCGGATTGGTTGCGGTGCTGGCCGGTATGTCTGCGCGGTTAAGCTTCTAGTGGCTTGTTGCTGAGGGAATTGAAGAATAATAGCGACGCGGGTTCAGGCGGTGGAACCTCCACGTTGTGGTTCCACTCTGTGGTATGATTAGTGAGGGTTAAGAGTAGCGGTAGTAACAGATTTATTCAGTGGAATTTGATATGAGGAGTAGCTAATCAAAGACAACGCTAGTTTATCATCTACGACTTACAAAGGGTTCTTATCGTTACGACTAGTTGTATAGTTTATGGTCGGTAGTGGAACTCATATCTGCTTGCCACGTCCTCAACATGAAAATAAACCGTTGTTAATACGTTCTGTTTGTTGACATGCATAGAATAACTTAACGCAATACATAACTTCTATTTACAAGTACACACACACAGACAGACAATTATCTACGCACGTAATAATTTAGAGTCTTCAGTGATCAACAACAAAAGTAAACATACAAATTCTGCGAGAAAGGTAACAACTGCTAATACGTTGCGTTGAGTTATATAATGATGAGCAGTGAAAGCTAGGCTATAGTAAAGATGAAATTCGCATAAATCAAAATGGTTCAAAATTGTGTAACGATGATAGGAAGATAGTGTTTAATTT